GGAGGTGCCTTTTGAGTAAATATGTTTGTGGCAGGGTCACTTCTTGGTAGGAGGAAAGGAGACAAGGAAAGAAAACCACAGAGAGATGCCGAAAAGGGCCTCTCGCTCCACCAGACTGTCCTTAATTGCAAACAACAAGACCCTGTGGTGACAAAACAAGTTGGCTAGAGAAGTGGGCTGCCACAGGCAGGGTACCCCCAACCCACTCCATCAGTAATGCTCCCCCAGCACTGTCACACCCTCACTGGTATGCCTGGTGGCAAATGAGTTCCAGGACTTGGGGGCTAAGACTCCATCCTCCCCGGGGCTCCTCTGCTCCCATGTACCTTGTAGGAAGCAGCCCTGGAGAGAAGAGCAACCACCCCTGGTCAGATGCAGAGCATAGTGGGGGCACAGGTGGGATATGAGGAACTCAGGCCAGGAAGGAAGCATCAGGTGCAGAGGGAGGCCCGGCTGGGGCTGGAGGAGGGCCCAGCCCTGAGCCAGTCACTTTAAGGTGTCGTCGGCGTTTTTGAACATGAGAATGGCGTTATAGATCTTCAAGGCTGGACCCAGCTTGACACTCATGATCTTCACAATGTCCGCCTGTGTCAGCAAAAGGAAGGCCTCGCCATCAATCATCTGAGGGTTGGGGGAGGGAAGTGGAAATCGGAGAAGGTGGAGAGGGTCATGGGGAAGGAGTGAAGGAAGGTGGGCATATGCATGGCGGGGAGGAAGAGGAGAAGGAAAATGGGGGTAAAGGATATATGGGGGGAAGGGAAGGAGGAGGGAGAGGGAAAGAAGAAGGAAAAGGAGCAAGGACAAGGGAGGGAGAGAGGAAAAAAGGAAGATAGCAATGGGGACAGAGAAGGAAAGAAAGATATCCACTGGTGTTCCCACGTTCACACACACACGCACACACACACTCTTTCTGCTGACAGATCTGGACTTCAGTGTGTATTTGCATAATGTTTTCTGAGTCTTCACTGACAGTGGCTTCAAAAACCTGCTATTGCTGCCCTAGTCGGTTTGGTTTAGTGGTTCAAGCGCAGGCCTGCAGACCGAAGGGTCCTGGGTTCGATTCCGGTCAAGGGCATGTGCCTCAGTTGCAGGCTCCTCCCCAGCCCTGGCCCTGGCCTGGGATCATGCAGGAGGCAACCAATCCATGTGTTTCTCTCACATCGATATTTCTCTCTGTCTTTCCTTCTCTCTTCCTCTCTCTCTAAAAATCAATGGAAAAATATCCTCAGGTAGAGATTAAAACAAGAACAACAAACAAAGAAACAAACAAAAAACCTGCTATTGCTGTTCCCACATGAACCCACCGGTCAATCTCAGTGCTGCTAACAGACATGCGGGCCTTCTGATCAATGCATCACAGTATTACCTATGAGCTCTGAGAGAGAGAGCTTGAGATTTCATCTGAATCTAACCAAGCCTTTGTTTCTAACTCCCAGTTTACAGGAAATACACGGGATGTTGCAACAAGTTGAATGACACTATAAGGAAGCAATGAGACCAACCCAGCGCACCTTCTGCCAGACTTTTCCAGTGGCCCTGTGCCTCCCCTGGAGATTTCTCACACTGTGACTGCTGAGGTTGAGTCTAGGTTCTTCAAAGCAAAGATTGGAGTTTGTTGACTAGTAGCTTGGGACTGTGTCAGGGGACAATGGGATTACTCAAGAACATACAAGATGTTGTATGTGTGCTGCTGTATATGGAGTTTTCAGCCATAATCTCGGAAATGGTCATATTTGGCCTTGAAGGTAGAGGAATTCAACAGGAAAATGAATAAAATGAGCCAAATTCAATGATCCACTCTAAGCAATAGCCCGAGAGCTGTGGATAGGACCAGGGAATTTCCCCAGGTTGGCGTAACCTGGAAAGATCCTTAGAGAGCCACACGTGGGATGTTTAACAGAGGCCGAGCTAAAATCTAATCAGCTGATAAGGAGACTTCTATGCTATCACAACAGAGAGGCATGGCCCACGGGAACCCAAGAAAAAGGGACACTCAGGGAGCAGGAAGTTGCCCGTGTTTAACCAGCTGCATGGTCAGCAGAGTCTGTTGACCCCTCTCTGTCCTGCCCCCTCCTCTGAGCACCCATTACACCTAGCACACACCTCCCTCGGAGTCCGAACCACATGCCACCAGAAGCAGGAATTCACCATTCATCTTGACCGGTGTCCCTGAGTGTCCTGGCTGCATCCGTTCGGCCAGAGAGAACCCACTCCCTGGGGAGACTTATACCGTGGACCAGACCTTGGAGAAGGCAATCCTCGGCCCCCACAAAGCGTACTGGGTGCTGTCGGTCCACCAGCACACCTCCTTGCTCTGGCCGTTGCTTTTTTTGTATCACAGAACATGCTGAACCGAGACACGCAGCAGATGTTCCCGGGAGAGATAACCCTTCTTCCAACACGGGGACACTGTGAAGCCCAGCATGGGCTAGAGGATCAAATTCTCAGGTGGCTCAGCAGCTGGCTGAACAACTACTCAGAGAGTGTTCGTTTATGATCGGTTGTCACCTAATGGAAGATCCCTAATGGGCGCCACATGGTTCTGCCATTTTATCAGCACATGTGGTGAAGACTTGGCTTAAATTAACACAGAAGGCTTAGTTATCAAATGTACAAGTTGTAGTCCAGTTAGGGTGACTCATTAACTGAGCGTCAACCCATGCACCAGGAGGTGGCCGCTTCAATCCCCAGTCAGGAGCATACAGGAGGCAGTCGACTGATGATGTTTCTCTCTCATTGATGTTTCTATCTTGCTCCCCCTCTCTCTAAAACCAATAAACACATATTTTAAAAATGTACAAGTTGTATGAGGCTGGAAAGGCTTATTAATATCAGAGGTGACAGAGTTAAGATTTAAAACAGTGAGATCATGAAACCAACATGATAACATTTAACAGGGAGAAATGTAAAGTCTTTCATTAGATTAATTTTAAAAAGCCAGTGGTACAAGTAACACACTGGAAATTTTGGTTTGATTATAATGGATAATTGATATAAAAGCACTTGGGGACTCTCATGAATTCAAAACTGGTGTGATGTGGCTATAATAAAGCTGGTGCAATCTTAAGTTTTACTCACAAAAATACAGGGTTCAAATCGAGGGGGAGGGAAAATGTCTGTTGACGGTGGGATAGTCACAAAATGGAGCACTGCGTGGCAATAAGAATGAACAAACTAAGGGTCTACACAAGAACATGAATGAACCTCGAAAGCATCACACTGAGTGAAAAGAGATAAAGAAGAGTACGTGCTGTACGATTCCATTTATATGACGTTCAAGGGCAGGCAAAGCTAACCCGTGGTGCTGGATGTGAGAACTGTGGCTGCCATGAGGCTGGGGACTGATGAAAGGGGCCGAGAAAGAACTCTCTGGTGTGAACGCTTCATATCTTGACTGAAGTATTGGGTTCAGCGTGTACACATTCCACAAAGCTGTGGGGATGCACTATTACGATGGGTACCTTTCTCTCCATGTATATCTGACCTCCATGTACACACATCTAGATGTCAGCTCATCGACTGTAACAAAGGCCCGGCTCTGCTGAGTGATGTCGATGAAGCGGGAGGCTGTGCATGTGGGCAGGGGGCATATGGGTCACCTCTGTACTGTCCTCTCAATTTTGTTGTGAACCTGAAACTGTTCTAAAGTAAGAAAGTCTTTTTTAAAACAGAAACCAAAGCCATCTGGAGGAGCAGCCCAGGTGCTGTGCTGTTCAGAGCGCGTCTGAAACACAGGTGCAGCCCTGGACACACCCGTTACGATAAGATCACAATCCAGAAGGAAAGCACCCAGAATGGGGAGGAGCGAGGGAGCCTGCCAAACTAGGACCTGAGGAAGAAACTGGCTGGTCGGCTGGATAGGGAGATTCTCCCGGGAAAGGGGGAGACTTCTTTCTCATGGGCATCACCTGGAGGAGGCACCTAGGGGGGCAGAGACCACACTTCCTGGGTGAAGGGGATGTGTGAATTCTTTGGAAGGAACACCTAAACAGATTCAAAGGCCCCTTCCAGTTTCAAACTCTACAAATTAGAGAGACGTGATAAAGTTCTTCATTTAAGGATGACTGCACATTCAAAGTCAGAACAACCATTGATTGAAGCCCCACTGTATCAGTTATTTTTGTACAGTGATATATTTACATATTATTTTTAATATTATATATAATATTAATATATAGTATTCCATGTCCAGGCTGCCAGAGGAATGTTTGACTGCCAGCTTAGGCCCGCTCCTCCCCCGGGAGCAGGACTAAGCCAGCAGGTGGACATCCCCTGAGTGGTCCCGGACTGCAAGAGGGCACAGACCGGGCTGAGCCCCCCCACCCCCACCCCCGCCCGAGTGCACAAATTTTTGTGCACTGGGCCTCTAGTATAATAATATATATACTAAGGTATAACTATCCTAGACATTCTGATACAATGATCCATTCGTCATCGCCAATACTCACAGTGGCCTGGAAAGGTAGACATCATTATATCTATTTTATCTCCATTTTACACATAAGAAGATGCAGGCTCAGGGACAGTAAAAAGCTCAAATTGGCAGAACTGGGATTCAAACCCAACTGTCTGCAAAGCTAGCATTCTTTTATCTATAACTTGCTGCTTCTTACCTTTGGGGAGCTTTGGGGTCTTGCTTTTAAGTGTATGGTAGGGTCCTTGCAGTAAATGGCAATACCTGTGCCATCAGGTATTAAAATGCACTTGAATTAACCGGCTGAAGGTAAGTTTGGAGAACAAAAATAGGGGGGCAGAGGGCAGAGGGGTGGATGGAACCTCATCTCCAGGATGCTTCTTCCTTCCTGGGATGGTCTGGATACAGAGGGTTCCCAAGCTGGGCCAGGGTCCGAACCAGATGTTTCCCAGAGGTGTGGCTATGACTCCTCCTCAGGTGGACAACAGGACCTTCCCTCTCTGGGGGCAGCACTGGTGGGGAACCTGCTCCCTGCCTCTCAGTGGGTGATTTCTCTGTGCCCACTCTGCACTTGCACCTCACTTACCTCATCTTTGAAGAGTCGTGCTTGGTCCTCACAACCTGTCAGGGTCTGAACGAAGCCGAAGACCTTGGAAATCAAAGAAGACATGTTGCCTGTTGCCAAGGATACAGGGGCTTGGGAGACAGGGGGAAGGTGGCTTATATGGCCTTGGCAACTTCTGGGCTGTGACTGTGTTGCTTTTTCTTATCAACCTAAGAGGATCCCTGCATCTCTGTGCTACTGGGTATGTGAGGCTCAGCCTGCCCCTTCCGCTAGATTTCCAGTTGGGCTAGTAGCCGGCCCCTCTCCCCATCTACCAGGATGGGGCATGAAACAGTCTCTCCGTCAGTCCCTGCCGGGCAGCTAGGAGGGTCTGTGGACTTGAGGGATGGGCAGGAGACAGTGTGAGGGGCAGCTTCCAGCTCTGCCCGGGAGGCCTCCTGAACAAGGGTGTTCTGGTGAGAGGGCAGAGCAGGGGAGGGGAAGAAGGGGGTGAGCTCCTCACCTCATCGATGGTCCACTTGGCCACTGTCGAGGCCGAGATGCCCGCCACTCCCGGCAGGAGCTTGCAGTGCTGCTCCCAGCACACTGAGAGGGACCGGTCAGGGTGGGCCGACAGGGATGACATGAAGAAGGACTGGTGGATGACATCGGTCGTTAGTGCTGGAAAGCAGAGGCAGAGGCTGGCAGGCCGGTGCTGGGGACGAACCTGGCCCCAGGAGCCGGCCTGTACCCACGCCACTCAAGAGGACCACGGCCCCTTCTGATAGCCTTTCGGGGCCAAGAGGGTGGTCCAGATCTGCCTCATCTGGGCTCGCTCCCTCCGGTAAAGTGGCTTCCTTGCTTTATAGACTCTTGGGTCAGCTGTTTGGAACAACCTCCTCCCCAAGCCCCATCCCTCTGAGGCTGCACCCTGGGGCCCTGCAAGGAGGCTTTCCCAGAGCTGCTGCAGCATCCTGGTTCCCTTCTCGAGATACCTTGCATCCAAGGGGTGGACACCCAGCAAGAAGCCCGTTGTGTCTGTCCTCCTTTCCCTAAGTCCTTTTGGGCCCTCATTAACTTGCTCTTGAACCCTGGGCAAGTCACATAACAGGGGCCTGTTTCACAGCCTGTACACGAACAGGTTGGGCAAGGAAACCTCTGTGGTTTCCTCTTGTCTCTCAAGCACTGACCCTCAGGGGGCCGGGCGGGCCCTACCAGCAGGGAGAGCACAGCCGAGTCCTGTCCTTGGCAGGCAGCCTCCACCTCGGAGCGGTTTGCCAGCAAACCCTGGAGCCCACACTGAAGAGGTCTCCCCATGGATGTGTGAGAAGTCTCTGGAACAAAATCCAGAGTGACTGTGTCCCCTCTGTGAGAGAACCAGCTGGTAGGACAAGGGAGCCCTGCACAGAGGTCCGAGGCCTGCGCCCTGTCCTCTTCTCTGTCCTGTCCCTGGAGGGCTATAGCCTCAGGCTCTGGGAAGACTGAAAGTCCCTAGTCCTCAGGACACCTCTGGCATGAACACAGGCACTCGCCCTCTGGTGGTCAGAATGTGGCCCTGCAATGGAAGCCGACCAGGATTCCCACTGAAGGTGGAAGAGGTACGCTCTGCAGTCCCACCCCCAAAAGTCCTCACTCTGAGACCCTCCTCACTCAGGCCTGAGGCTGCAGGAATCGCCTTCTGTCTCCACCCAGAGAAACAGTAAGGAACACCAGGAGAGAATCAGGCAAGAGATCAGGACACGCAAGAATTCCAGTAGGTTATGTGACCATCTCGGTAAGTCTCCCACCACCTTTTGAGATTGGCACTATTATCATCAGCATTTTACAGGTGAGGCCACTGAGGTTCAGAGTGCCCCGGTTCACAGACTGTTCCTGAAGCACTCGAATAGGCTGGGTCCTGCCCAGACATGTGTAATGAACCAGGTGATTGTTCACGGTCTCCTCCTGACCTAAAACCATGTGCAACTCAAATGAGGCAAGATCCCCAGTGTCCCTGCTACTGGTCAGAGATGTGAGGTGAATTCATCACACAACGGGAGGGTGCAGTCCCCTGTGCCTCCCCTTGGCGCATGCTATGTGCTGAACTGCGTCTCCCCAAATTCATATGTTAAAACTCTAGCCCCCAGTACCTCAGAATGTGGCTGTAATTGGAGAAAGGGCCTTTAAAGAGGTGGTTAGGCAGGGTGGGCTCTAATCCAATCCAAGTAGTGCTCTTGTAAGAAGAAGAATTTTAGACACACAGAAATCGGGGGAGGGCATACAGGCATAGAGGAAAGACCACGTGAGGACACAGCGAAAAGGCAGACATCTTCAAGCCAAGGAGAGGCCTCCGAAGAAACCAAACCCCTCCACTCTTTGACCTTGGACTTTTAGCATCCAGAAGTGTGAGAAAGTAAATTTCTGTTGTTTAAGCCACCCACTCGGTGGTACTTGGTTATGACAGCCAAGTTAAAACAAAGGGGGGTGGGAAGGGAACTGACATTAGGTTAGGTGCTTTATGTCTATTACATCAGCAGCACATAGCAGAACTCAGACCCGAGTTTGAATCCCAGCTCTGCTCCTGACAAGGCAGATGACCTCAGGCAAATGACTTCTCTCTCTCTGAGCCTCTCATTCTCTTCTCTCAGAAGAGAATCCTATCACAGTAATAGTAACCACTATTATTGCAGGTAGCTGACATGTGAAAGGCAGTTATTCATGTTTTGTTTTAATCATTTATTTATTTTTAGAGAGAGATATGGATTTGTTGTTCCTACCATGCATTCATTGGTTGCTTCTTGTAGGTTCCCTGACTGAGGATCAAACCCAAAACCTTGGCGTATCAGGACGATGCTCTAACTAACTGAGATAACCTGCCAGGGCAGTTATATTCATGTTTTCAAATGAGGAAACTGAGGCTCAGAGATGTTCAGTGACTTGCTCAAGGTCACACAGCTAGATAGTGACAAGCCATGCTTCCCTCCCAGGGAGTCTAGAATGAAGAACAGAGCTAGGGCATCATCTGACCTCCCAGTGGAGAACCAGAGGCCCAGAGAGGTTCTGTGCCTTTCCCACAGATTCCCAGCAAGGCTATGGGTGAAATGAGCCTGGAACCTGTGGTCATTCGAGCCTGTACTCTTGCCACTGCTCTATGCTACCCAAACGAAAAGATACAACCACCTTTCCAGCTTCTCCATCTCTCTCTCTTTTTTATAAAGGATTATTTAGTATCTTTTATTTTTTTAATATGTTTTTATTGATTTCAGAGAGAGGGAGAGGGAGAAGGAGAGAGAGAGAAACATCAATGGTGAGAGAGAATCATTGATTGGCTGCCTCCTGCATGCCCCCTAGTCAGGATCAAGCCTGCAAGCCAGGCACGTGCCCTGACCTGGAATCAAACCATGATCTCCTGGTTCATGGGTCGATGCTCAACCACTGAGCCATGCCGCCCGGATCAGCTCTCCTTCTCTGTAAACATCCCACCAATTGTACACACTTTGTGGAGGACGTGGGGGTAAATGACCCTGGACTTACTCGCGAACTCTTCTTGTGTAATCTTCTGATACTTTGGAGGGCGCCCAGTCCTGGAGAGAGAGGGACAGGTCCATGGCAGGGAATCAGCGCCTGGCCTTGCCCAAGAGGACAAGAGGCCCTGCACCCCTGCCCTCCGCACCGGCCATGATGGCGAGGCTTCTTCCTTAGGGAGAAGCCCGAGAGGTTCCTCTTACGGGCCGAGGCCTCTGAGTCGGACAGCTCCACTTTCAGCCGGTTCTGGTTTCTCTCAGCCAGGGGGCACCCCGAGAGGCAATGGTGAGCTGTGAACTTGCCTGTGATGTGGCCGGACCCATCACAACCAGGCGTGGGGCACTTCCTGGGGAAGAAGAAGGCATAAGTTGGGCTGACCCGCTTGTGCCCATGAGCCCTTTCCAAGCCTGGCCCCATTCAGAGAGGGTCTTTAGTGAGCTCTGATTGGCCACACACAGACCCTCTCTGAGCAGTGTCTGAGGGTCTCTCAGCAGGAGCCCTGCCCTCACCGCTGGTGGAAGCTGTACTTGGAGGTCCTCGTGTGTGGCAGGCCCCGGTAGCTGAGGGGGGAACAGCCCTCAGGGGAGGCAGAGCCGAGCTCTCTGGGATCTGGAGGGACAGGAACAGGAGTCAGCATAAGGTCCTGGGTAGGGGGTGGGATGAGTGGAGAGCAGGGAAGTCAGCCCTGGGAATTAATTCCCCAGGTAGAAGGGCCCCAAGCTAGGCTGTGACACCACTTTCTGCTACTGGATATTTCCCTCTCTGTAGGGAATGAGGGGTTTGGCTCTCACATACTTTGGTGAAATCTGCAGGCCATGCCCTCTGTCTCCACGGGGGGAATAGCCAACGCAGAGCTGGTGTGGGCCCAGCTGTACCTTAAGAGCCATGTCAGGCAGATTGACATTATTCTGTTTCCCTGTTTCATCCCCTAGACTTTGGTAACTTTTTTTAGGCTCTGCCCATGCTTGGAGAGCAATCGAGAAGGATCAACTCCCCATGAGAGACAGATGTGGCAGCAGCAGGGAAACAGGGCTGGAGCGGGGATCCTGGGGGTGAGAACTGAGCAGTCCAATGATCTGACCTCTAACCCCTGCCTATAAGAGCCCAGATTTTATTTAAGAGCCAGCATGTCCTTAGCAAACGCCAAGCACGCTCTGTGTGCTCCTCCAAGCGAGTTTCCCTTCACATCTCAATACCCCAACCCAACAACTGGGGAAGCCAGAGGACGGGAGGGAGGGTGCGAGGTGTCAGAGCTCACTGAGACCTCCAGAGTCCTGTGTGTCAGACCTGGGCATGCTATCAAAGCGGGGGGCCGGGAGGGGGGCTGGACATCAGTAGGGAAGGATCAGAGTGCCCTAGGGGTACACACGGAGAGGAGGCTGCAGGGGATGCCCTGTCTTGGAGCACCAGCCGGCGGGGTGGATGTCCGGGTGGTCGGCATCAATCCAGAAGTCAAAGGCATGACTCCAGCCATCAAAGTGGAGCTGGGGGGGAAAGGCCCTTGGAAGTCAGGCATTCCTCACGGAGCCCCGCTCAGCCAGGAGGTCCTGCAGGCTCCAGGAGGCTCCCCCCATCCCCGGAGCCTGTCAGAAGCAAGATCCTGGGTTGGAAGAACCAAGGGGCCAACCCCACAATAATCCCTCTTGGCCATCATGTGCCCCAAGGGCTTCATCATTAAATTATGGGCATCTCCCATCAATCCTCACATAGATCTAGGATTATCAGGCCATTTTATAGATGAGAGTGCTAAGGCTCAGAGGGGGAAATGACCTGCTCAGACACACAAAAGCCAGTCACAGATGAGGCTAGAATGAGACCCAAGATCTTCAGCCTCAAATTTAGAGCTCTCTTCTCCACAACATGCAGGCTCCCTTATGTCTGGCTCATGCCATGCCCTTGACCTTGAATGAATCTACAGAATTCCTGCCCACTCGGCCTGTTCACTTCCCCAGCCCAAGGGTCCCAGAGCCACCTTTATCCGATGGTCCTCCACATCCTCCACACTGGCCACCCGGATCAGGGATGGGTTCCTGCGGTCCACGGCCTCCAGCTTCATGTTAACAAGAAAGCCGTGCGGGGGTCGCTGCAGGGGGACAGCAGCCTTCAGGCCGAGTCCCAGAACAGCAGTGCTGAGACCCCCAAGAAGGGAGTCCAAGTGCTGTGCCTGGAAAATTGGGGCCTGCAAAAGTGAGGGGGTGGGGGGGCATGCAGGGGCACATCCTAGCTGCCCAAGGGCTCCACGACTTCCTGAGCTCAGCTCTGGGGGCAAGAGAGCCAACTCACCACCTTGAAGGCCCAGGTGGGCACAGCAGAGGTCCCAGTTTCCTCCAGATATTTCTCCCAACAGAAGCTGTCAGGGTCTGGGTAGTCTGGAGAGAGGAGGACAGCAATGGGCTAGGCACCCAGGCGTACTGGGAAAGCTCCCTGCCCCCAAGGAGAGCCAGGAGCACGAAAAAGACAGAGGCCCATGGAGGGCAATTTACCCCCGCATCACCATGGCCAGCTCCTTGCGGGGGTTCGGGAGGCAGAGGGGTGCTAGCAAGCACATCACCACCTCCCTGTTTCCAGGGCTGTCTGGGAACCCTGGCTCCCATTCCTCTCCACTGCCCTGTGGCTCCGGCCCCAGCCCAGCCCTCTCTGAACCTCTGTTGTATGTGGGCCCATGCAATACTCTGAAAGGGAAGGGAACACTTCCTTCACTCTGGAATCCTGTACCCTTGTTGTTGGGGAGGGAGTGTCCCTTAACTTTCTTCCCTTAAACCAGCGGTTCTCAACCTGTGGGTCGCGACCCCTTTGGGGGTCGAATGACTCTTTCACAGGGGTTGCCTAAGACCATGGGAAAACACATATATAATTACATATTGTTTTTGTGATTAACCACTATGCTTTAATTATGTTCAATTTGTAACAATGAAATTGGGGGTCACCACAACATGAGGAACTGTATTAAAGGGTCACAGTATTAGGAAGGTTGAGAACCACTGCCTTTTAAACCTTCACACAGTTGGCGTTGGACAGGACTCTCCTAAAATTAAAGGGTTCTCTACTCCCAGGCATAGAGGCTGAGGCTCCTGGGGGTACTGGTGTAGGGCCTGGGGAGCGGGGTGTGGGGCCAGGCCCGGGCAAGGGTGTGCTCAGGCTGCACGGTCACCTTGTGGAGGTGTGAGGGGCTTTCCTTGCTTCTGGCACCAGCCAACCGGGTGGATGTAGGGGCTGCTGGGATCACACCTGAAACCCAAGAATATACTTCACTGTCCCCAGTGAAACTTGGAGGCCCTGAGCCTGCTGCCTACAACAGCATGGTGTCAGGGTGCACCCTACTTAGTGAGAGTTAGACAGATGGCTGGTGGGAAAGTCAGAAAACTGTAGCATTAACTGAAAGCTCTACCACCACCATCTTATCTAAGAGCAAACCATGAATCACAGGGGTCTGCTCACCTTAACCTTGGTATTTCTAGATGATACCTCTCACATTGCATTGTGGCTATGGCCAGAGTGGCTAAGTGATTATAGCATCATCCCATGCACCGAAGGGTCATGGGTTCAGTTCCCAGTGAGGGCACATACAGGAGGTAACTGATCAATGTTTCTCCCTCTCTCCCTCTCTCTAAAAAGTGAATAAAAATAGTATCTAAGAGGCATTCTAGCATTCTTAGAAGACAGCAGCTTTATGAAACATGCACTTAATATTTTCTAAAGTCTTAACAAAAAAAGACCATGTCCTTGAATGAGGATTAAAAATATATATATTGCATGTGTTTCTTACGATATACATAGATCAAACCCACAGGACAACCAATTATCCCCCTGAACAAATATGAATGCTAGGGCTGGGCAGGGGCTACATGGTGTCTAAGTTTTCAAAGTCTTGCCTCCCTCCCCTGCCATCCCCTCACCACCCCGGCCAAGTCTGGGCCCTCCCCCTACCAGTAGTCGTAAGTATCGTCCCAGTTGTCAAAGTGCACCAGGAAGCGGCTGTCCACCACGTCGGTCACGCTGGCCACACAGACGAGGGACGGGTTCATACGGTCCACGGCCTCCAGCTTCATGCCCACCTGGAAGCCCAGGGGTGGGGGACTCTGGGGGCAAGAAGAGGGGCTGCCACGGCCAGGCCAGGGAGCTAGTGCCAGCCTGGAGGCCACTGGCAAGGAAGGAGTGGGTTCCCTAAGAGTCATGCTAGGGTTAGGGGGTGGGATAAACAGGTAGAATCATAATCCCCAGCCCAGAGCCACTCAGGAACTTCCGGCCCCCAAGGAGCATTCAGAGGACACCTCATAATGGCAGAAGGTGAGTGACTGGCGGGAAGGTGCACATTCACCCAAGTGTACCAGGTGGAGGGCAGCCTGCCCTACCCAACGAGACAGCTGCCATCATCCCCATTTGATAAGTCAGACAACCTGTCCAGGACCACAATGCTAATCAACGGTGGGCCAGGATGGAAAAAGTTTGGCTTACAAATCTCATCCCCTCTCACAAGAGCGGGCAGAACCCCACCAGTCACTTGGGCACCTGGAGGATGGTCTCTGGGCTGGGCTGGAGGTGGCGGGTAAATGCCCGAATGGCATGGCAGGGTCCCGGGCCCAGGGGAACCCTGGACTTTTTTTTTTTTGCTTAAGAACTGTGGAATTATTTGGAATGTTTTACAAATGGTTGCCACATCAACAACAAAACATGATGTACAAAATATGTACATCACAACATGCTTTTAAAGACACTTTGCATTGTGCTCACATTCCCTTAAATGTTGGGGAATCCTGGACTTTTGATATGGTGATATTTTTAATGGGGGTCCCCTATATCTCAGACCATTTGCTTGGGATTAAGAGATACGTGAACTGCTGCGTAAAGCTGCCAGCTGCCTTGAACAGAGAAAAAGACAAGGGTGAGTTGTGGAGACTAAATAGGAGCCTTGATGTCAGGCAAAAGGCTGGGAAAGGCAGCTCCCAGGACAGAGGCTCGGACCTCACACCAAAACTACAGAGCAAACCAAAGCAAGAAACAAGCACGGTGCCTGGCCTGTGTGGCTCAGTGGTTGAGCATCAACCCATGAACCAGGAGGTCACGGTTCGATTCCCTGTCAGGGCGCATGCCTGGGTTGTGGGCTCGATCCTCCGTGGGGGAATGTGTAGGAGGCAGCCGATCAATGATTCTCTCTCATCACTAATGTTTCTATCTTTCTCTCCCTTTCCCTTCCTCTCTGAAATCAATAAAAATATTTTTGAAATGAGAGCGAGAGAGAGAGAGAGAGAGAAATAAATAAAAAAGAGACAAGCACAGTGACATCTCAGAGCCCAGGCAGAGGCAGTGAGCCGGGGCCTCCAAGGGGACGAAGAAGAGGCTTTCTGTGGAGGGAACAGGGGAGGACCTATGCCCAGCTTCTCCCTCTGGCCTTGGCCTGCCCGGCGGGCCCCTCCCGTTGGGTAGGAGAGACCTGAACAGAGCTGAGAGCACCGAAAGAGGAGCTCTCCTCGGGGCAGTCAGATACCCGTGGCTCGCTGCCGTGAGGCTGTGTCCGGGGCAGGTGTCCACTCTGGCTCAGGGGCACTCACATGGCTTTGGCTCACGAACAGGTGCTTGGGGGCAGCCTGAGCCCTTGTGCTGCGCAGGTACTGACTCCAGCTGAACTCCTCCTCCTTGTAACCTAGGCCCGCACGGGGCCGAACAGAGCGCCGTGCAGACAGAGGCTGGGCCGCGGCCAGGGCACCCCACCCTGAAGCAGCAGAATCGGGCTGGCCTGAGGACCCCCCCATCCTCAAGAACCTGCCCAGGGACCCACGGCCGAAGCCGGACACCTTCGGTGGACACTCAAAGGGCAAGGGCACAGCAGAACCCGGGGGCCACGCCACAGCAGGAGGTGGAGAGAGGCCGGCTGTGCAGTGGGGACGGGAAGGGAGCCCACGGAGAAGAAGGGATGGGCCTGAGGGCCCCTGCCTCACTGTGACCAGCCTAGCGAGGCCTTACCTTTGGGGGGCTGCAGCTTGTGCCCAGTCTTCTCAAACCAGCCAGCAGGGTGGATGTCAGGGGAGTTGGCATTGATCCAGAAGTCATGGCACTCAGAATACCCATCAAAATGCAGTCGGAGACGATAGCCACACACCTGGCCCCATGAGGGGGAAATCACAGGGACTCTAATGCCAGCAGACACCCACTCCTTTGCCTTTACCTCTCCTGCCCAGCCTGGTCATCTCAGGGCTCTAATGCTAGCAGGCTCCCCACCTCCCTTCACTCCCAGCTTTCCGCCTATCCTGAACCTTGTGCCATACTCTCCTGCAATGAGGAAAGTTCATGTACTTGTGAGCTCTGAGTTCTGGGTACAAGACAGGCACATCCGGTGGCATCCTCCTGCCCTTTAAGACCTAGACAGAACCCATGGGCACCTACCAGGGCTCAGGCGTGCTCAGGGCCCCCCCTGACCTTTCTTTCTGCTTCTTCTCTCACTGCTCCCCAGTTGCACACTCTGCTCTGGCCCCACTGAGCTAATGGCAGCTCCCTGAACACGGCCTGTTTCACACCCCAGAGCCCTTGCTCACTGATCCTTTTGCCTGGGACACCCTAGCCATTCGCAACTCGTCTCTCAAGGCTCAGCAGAGGAGCCCCTGCCTCGGTGAAGCGTCTCCTGCCCGCTCAGGGCCTCTCTGCTCTGCTCACGTCGGTCCCACGCCTGTGGGGTGTCACTGATATGTTTCCCACACAGCTGTGAGCTCCGAGACGACAGGCACCTTCTTGGACTCATGCCAACGCCCCTGCTCTCGGGATCTCCTCCAGTTCGCCCAGCACTGAAGTGCACACCCACGTAGCACCAGCCCCACCCTCACACTTCCTCTGGTTTCTGTTCATTTTTCGTCTTTTCGATGCAACCACCTCAATCCCCCACTAGACTGTGTGTTTTCTGAGGGCAGGAGCGTGTCTCCCTCATCTGAGCCCGAGCCCCGGATGCCCCTGGCAGGCTCCATCAGTCTATCCTGAGAGACACCCTCAGAACAGTGGTGCGAGCCTCGGCTCACCTCGGCCACGGTGAGGATGAAGTACATGGATGGGTGCTGAGGGTCGATGCCTTCCAACTTCATGCCCAGTCTGAAGCCGTTCTTGTTATGAGTGACCGCCTGGTACTGTCAACGCACAGATTGGAGAGGACCCAGCTCCATCCAGCCTTACCCTGGCCTAGTGGGCTTGGGGTGAAGGAGCTTCCTTTAGGCCCCACCCGCCGGTACTACCAAAGGGATAACTTATTTGGGGGTCTTTCGTGCAGGGATTCAGAGGGAGACAGAATAGCGCCCAGGTCCCTTGAAAAATGTGCGTTGAGTCAGGGCTGGAGTTAAGGGTTCTGTCTCATCCAAGTCATTTAAAGTTCCATATACAGAATTGAGTAGAAGGCACCAGAATTCAAAAGTCTGCAGGCCCAGCGATGGGGGAGCCTGGTTCCACCTCCCTATTTCTCCTCACCCTGGACATCCCTTATTGTGGGCCCTTTTCTACTCTGGTCCCCAACCAGGCTCTCCCCTTTCCATTCCATCCCTTTAAGAGATGTCAGACACAGAAAACACCAGAAGGCCTGAGTTGGGTGGTGAGTCCTCGACTGGGAACACAAGCATTTCCTAGGCGGAAGCTGCCCCACTCACGTCCTGGAAGAGGCTGATCGGGGCGGTGATGGCCTTCTGCTCCTCAAGGTAAGACTCCCAGGACCAGCCTTCCTTCTTCTCGCCTGACGCTGTGGGCAGGAGACACAGGCTGACATGGGAGAGTGGGGATGGCGATGGAGAAGGCCTGAGGGCCAGAGCTGGCTATGAACGGACTTTGTTCCATTTTTCTTAGAACCAAAGGGTCAGAATGGGGGCCCAAACTGCAAGGTCAGACCAAGGACGGTACAGACTTGCTCAGACCAAAGGGAAGCAATGCCATGTGATACTCAAGTCTTTGGATCCTGAGCCGGGCAGCGAGGCCTACTTACACGGGACAGAGGCTAAACAAACAGGTGAGATAACCCCAACCAAGAACCCACATGTACTGATACACAAATCATAAACATTGTCTTTTTCTCATACTCTCTCACACGCACTAACTGATGCTTACCTATATATGTACACACACCATCACAACTGCCACCTACTCTCCCGGCCTCATGCCTACAAATGTGTGCGCACGCAATACTTGAATACATATCCACAGGCCGCATACCAGGCTGGCTGCCGTTCCACTCCTCACTTTCTGGGATGCTAGCTGTGGGCTGTCCCTCTGGGTCCTTCCTTTCTTCTCGCTTCTCCTGTGGAAGGCAAGCCTGAGCCCAGCTTCCTGCCCTCATGCATTTGAGAGAAGCCCCGGTCGCTATTCCCAGCCCCTGTTTGGCTCTCTGGCCACATGGTGTTTTGCCCCAAACAGGTGGAATTTCTCCTAGGCCCCCCAGAAGGACTACAGCTCCAGCAGACAACTTCTTACCACTCGGACACAGAACCACATGAACACCTCCCTCACCACCACCACCACCAGCTACACAACCGGACTATAATTCCCCTCATTTCCAGGGAGGGGAACAGGACACGAACACCTGCCTGTGCTGGTTCTGACTGCCCACTGGGACTCTCATGCTGTCTCCTCCAGCTTCTCTGCAACTAGAGCCCCGTGCTCCCTGGCCTCTGGCCTAGTGACTGGGCTCCCGGGACAGAGCTCTCCATCTGTCCACTCAGCTCTCCTGGGAGAGTGTGTTAGCCCTGATACTAGATGGAGATGGGAGCCCCAGAAAAGCAGCAGCGTGACTTATTCATTCCCCTCCAGCCAGGCACAGGACCTGGCTAAGGATGAGACCCTAAAATATGATGAATGAGTCATTCAGTGTCTTCTCTGGCCCCGTCCCATGACCTGAATTGATGGAGAGTATAGTCGGGTTGAGGGATAGCCTCTGGCCTCCCCCTTCCCTCCCACGGTCCTCTTCCTACCGCGGCATCTGGCTCCGACTCCTCTGATGGGCTGTGGTACTCCCTGTACTTCCTCTTCTTCACGGGTTTGAGGAGCTCAGAAGTGCTGGTGTAGTATTTCTGACCCGAGGAGTTCTCCACTATGACTGACCTGAGGAAGGGGCAGCCTGAAGGAGAGAACCTCTGGCCCACCAGGCACCACCCAGCCCCTTTCCGAAGCCATCAGCAGAAATGGGACTTTGGGGCCCCAAAGCAGAACAAGTGGAGGGGTGAGCCCTGTGCCTTACCGCTCCTGAAACAGCGGGGGGCAGCCATCCCTGGAGGAGCCAGGATCTGGACGGGAGCCTGGCTGAGGCTCACACGCCTGGCACTGACAGGTGGCACCATTCTCGGGGGGGTC